TATATACATATATACGTATGTGTATCTATTTCTCCCATGATAAGGGGGAACAATGTCGCCTTTCTGTTACCCTTTTTCTTTGAACTTAATCTTATCTACTGAATCTTGGTGTTTTCTTTCTTCCGGCCAGAAATGTTTTTCGTTTGTTTCTTTTAGTTGAGTAATTTTATTCTTTTTCTTTTTTGGTGGATGACTCATATGCACTAGAGTAAAGTAAAGCGACTCAAAGCGAACAGTATTAAACAGTCAGAAGTGGGCACTTATATTAATGGTGTTATTTTAAATAGAATTTTTTTTTCAGGATTTCATCATGAGCGGTGACATTAGTTAGAGAACCATTGGAAAACCACCTGGAAGTACTGGAAAGCTAGCTGTTTCGTCAGCCTAGTTTGGGACTCTTCGTCAGTATGCACCCACCGCCAGACTTCGAATCCAGGACCTTCCGGTTACAACGTGAGCGAGCTCGTAGACCATTAAGCCACTGGGAAATAAGATAACAGTGAAGTTATTAGTTCTTCTTATCACTATTATGTAGTAGTGTTACTTCTTTGTGTTCAGAGTGGACTGACTGTCTTTGATCATAGGTGCTTGCGTTCTGTCTCCTGTGTGAAGTGGTATAATAAGGTGAGCATTATTGAGCTTAGGCATTGGTCGAGTGCTAAGTTAAGAGGGGAAATCAACAGACGAGGCTGTGAAGTTACATCGATTGAGATGGTTAGGATATGTGTTACGCATACCTTACCTAGCTAGCTATCGATCGCCTTCCTGGACTGACGGGCAATGTTAGCTGACATCGGATGGATCAGGTTGGAAAAGAGCCACTGTTGGTCAAAGGAAAACTTAGTTTAAGCCACATAGAAAGGTGTAGACTTCTTGACTTGTTGGGGTTATCGGGCCGGTGAAAACCAATGGTTGGCACAGAGATGCATCCGCTCCTTGTGACTTTAAAATACCCGACAAAACTTATAATCTCTGTTTAACTGTCTGTGTTTTGCATTTCTTTTTACTTTCTTCTTCTTCTCTGACTTTATGTGCTGAGTGAAGTGTGGCGACTCCAACTGCTGCACACAGTGGACTTCAACAGTATGGTGGCATTTGTTGAGCATTATTTTCTTGTCAAATGTTAGTTTGTAGGGATTTAACTGGCTACAGGATTGATTGATCAGAATGCAGAGTGGCATTGGTTAGAGAATCATTGGTCAATCCTTTTATCAATCCTATCCTTGGGAATCAACACCTGATAATTATTCTGATGCTCACTAGCGAGCCACCGGCCTTATACTGGAAGTTCTAGTTAAGAAGTCATAATCAGCGGGGTCCACCAAGTCGGACTAGAGGACAATTACTCACCTGTGAAATTGGCTAGTGGTTGCGCTAAATATATATATATATATATATATATATATATATATTGGTGGGTGTTGGAATTCATGAACGTTTGAGCTGGGTATCAGTGCCTAATGGTCTACGAGCCCGCCTAGGTTTAAACCCTGGCGGTGGGTGTGAGCTACTGAAAAGTCCCAATCACTAGGATGAAACTGCTATCCAGTACTCTTAGCTGACCTGCCAATGGTACTTTGATTGATATCAGCCGATGATCAATCTTGTAAAGCATTTTTGGTTTGTTCTTCGGAGAGTAGCACGAAGATGTGGTATTTGTGCAGTAAAGATTGTAAAACCCGTTGGAAATGCATTTTGTGATACTTGACACTCTAGTGTTTAAAAGCACCTGAATTTTGTTCTTTATACTGCTAAAAGCCAACTCCGTCTGTCTGTTTTCGACATAGAACTTTGCACAAATGTGCGGAAGTTCAAGTCGCCAACTCCATGTTCTACCACTCGGATCCCAAGGAAATAATAGAAAATAAAAATAAATAGACTTACCCCCCTTGCTGGTATTCAAAATTTATTTATTTATGTATTTTTGTTTACTTTGACTGTTTTATAGTAAGTAGCAAAGCAAAGTGTATTCCACTAAGTTGTTTTTTTTTTTTGATTATATTTATGTTACCTCGAGTCACCTTGGGTTATGTTTAGATTCAATGTAGTAACTAATCAACTAACTAACTTATTGCTAACAATTCCATGTAGTCAGTTATTAGTAGTATAACAAATTACTATGCATTTATTAGAAATTAAAAGATTTTGAATTTTTTTAAAGGTATTACTTCGATTTTTGCCGTTGATTGATATTTTTGCACCGAAATGCGTGTCTTGACATGTCGTCTACTGATGTAGATGCTTCGATGATGATATCTTAAGATTAATAGCATATTTAATTGGTGAAGAGTGACTAGCAGTGAAATCCAGGATGCGCGTTTCGTCGTATTTGGGACTCGGCATCTCTATGTACCTGCATTTCCCAGTGAGTGAGGATATTCCCACATGTCAACTTGAGTCCGAGAACACTTCGGTCCAATCTGTCGATGGGAAAATCTCAAATTCAATAAAATGAATATGACCCGTTACACAAGAGTTGGCTCTCGTGGCCCAAGCGGTCTACTGGATAACGCTTTGGCGTTTGAAACTATGGGTACTGGGTTCGAGCCCCGGTGGGAACATCATCGCTCACTGAGAAATGCAGGTACATCCAGCTGGAGGACGAGTCCCAAATAGGACGAAATGCGCGTTATCCTGGATTCCAGTGCTAGTCACTATCCACCGATTAAATTCTAATGAAATGCCCAGATATCGTCGAAGCATCTTCACAAGAAGCCGACATGTCAACCTGAGACCGAGCACTTCGGTAGAATCAATCGACGGGAAAATCTCAAATTCAATCAGATTAATAGGATATTATTTTAATTGATATTCCTGCCTCATTGACTGAATGTGGTTACATCTCCAGTGATTGACGATGATGGTGATTTACCCACTGAGACCGTTTTAGTATTTGAAACGACAGAGAGTGCATTTTGATCTCAACAGGAATACTTTTAACCTACTAGGGATGTGCAGGTACTTCCAGAAGACGAGGTCCAAATTGGGATGAAATATCCAATAAAATCTTAAAGTATACTTCTATCCAATTTTAAGTGTGACATTAATTTACTGACAGCAATGGTTTTATTTTGATGTTTTATTTTAAAAATTTTTTATTATTGCGGACGTGTGATTATCCGGCAAGATAACTTGATCAACACTTCATGCTACTGTATTTATTAATCTGTGAATTATACCTCATTTATATGAGTTGTATGTGGTACTAAAGATTGTAAGACTCTTGTTAGTATTAGATGGTTGGAGGGAATCGGGGTAGAGGAAGCCTTGGAGCTAGGTTTCGTGCTAACTGGTACTAGCCAGTCAGCAAGGCGTATCTGCAACTTTGAAGGAGCTCATTTCCCTTCGAAGATTTGAACCCGGGTCATCCATTACTTCAATCAACCATCTAATGCCAACAGTTCACAGTACTCCGTGATGGCGAGCCACCCAATGGGCCACATTGCGAACTTGACTTTCTGCACCAAAGGACAAGGGACTAGAGGGAAAGTGAGTGAAGAATACATTCAGCGAAGAGACTCTTTTCAAAGATGCTCTCTAGTGAGTTGCTACAGGACAGAGTTTCCTGGAGCAGTTCTAGTGAGAAATCGTGACCATTGAGGTCCATCCAGTCAAGTGGGTGAGGATGGATGTCCCACCGATGACATTGGTCGGTGCCAGTCGCTCCAAATCACGTATTGGTAGAAGTTAGAATTCATGGGCTGACTGGCCATTGAATCAGGTCCCAGTGGCTGATTGGCATACGAGCTCTCTGGCCTTGTAACCGGAAGGTTCTGGTTTGGAACCACCTGTGGGATGGTTGCCTACGGCCGATAATTCCCAAACTAGGGTGAAACAGCTGTTTGGATAGTACTCCAATGGTGGTTTTCAATGGTTCTCTAGCTGATATCAATCCCTGGTCAAACTCGTAAACTTATTATCAAGCTATACAATCGTATATACATTAAGAAATTACATCCGGTAGGGGAATTGAATCATAGGTGGGAATCCATAAAATAATAATTGTAATATGAAATGCAATTAAAATTAAAATGTTTGTGATTATAATCGTAGTTAAATGTCAAGTGGCAAAGCAAATTAATGTCATATATAGAATAATTCATAGGAGGGATAGAACTTGAAAAAGGGTGTGCAATTATAGGATTAGTAGACAAATCGAATAAGAATAAAGACGTTACGTAATAGTGCGTGAAATTTAATAGCATAGAATTTATCGTTGTAAAAAAGAGAATTGATTTAGAATGACAAGTTGAACGAGTGAAATTATACCGAAGACAGTTCAAAGTGAGAATAGTAATAGTAACAATTGACGTAATAAAGGTAGAGTATACAAATTGAATAGACAAAATGAAAAAAATGAAAAATTGGTAGAGCAAAAAATATGATTAGGGATTACCATACTTCAGCATAGAGGGAATAAGACCAGGAAAGTTGGAGGGGTTGAACGAACCCTTATTGTATACAAAAATCTGGCTTCTCCATTTCGATGGCCAAATATAGTTTCAGCAATACAGATGAGTTGGGTACGTAGGGATTTGAGCAAATTACTTTTCCCCTGTGTAGATGACTTTAAAGGCGGAGGCTTTAGATAGAGATGTCATCCAGTTGTCCGTACTGTATCACTCTGTGTGTGTGTGTGTGTGTGTGTGTGCAGTAATAAATAAACGTATTCGATTCCACAAGACAATATTCCTTTTGTATGTTAACTGAATTATCGCTGAAGACACACTATCATCCTTGCTAGACAGCGTTTTAGAACATATATATATGCACATTCAGAATAAGCCTCCCAGTTTCATTTCTTTTCGCATATTTATTAAAGTATGAGGTGTGGGGATTACTCACATGACAAGTTGGAATGCATGAGACAATAACCGGTTAGTAATCATATAGTTATAACAACATATAGTAAGTAGCCATAGTAACCATTAAATAATTTTACTTTCTTTTATTGTTAATTTTAATTTATTTTTATTATTTTTCTTTCTTTCATATTTCAGCTCCAGAATCGGCTCCTCTCATACGAGGACAAAATGAAGGTGAGTAAAACACCCTGAGGTCTCTTCGCTGAACGCCTTCTTTTCTGCGGTTCATTTTATTGTTCCTTGTATACTATTTGATCGTTGATTGTCTCTCTGTGGTGTGTGCAGCCGACTGGTTTTTTTTTTTGATTGATCGATCAGTACGACCTAAATGGGTCACATAAAGTATATTGTATGAGGATGTCTGTAAAGTATGGTATGTACTTTGCGCCATCTAAGTGCGGGTGAACCGCTTGAAGTTGTTGATAAGTTTGTGTATCTGGGTACTAGTGTGAGTGCTGGCGGAGGGGTGGTGACGGATGAGATTTCCAACCGTATAATAAAGGCTAGGGTGGAATACATCAACTTGAGCCAACTATAGTGCCGTCACGATGTTAGCCTGGCTGTCAAAACTCGGGTATACAATGCTTCGGTGTAGGCTGTCTTGCTCTACGCCAGGCCTATGAAACCTGGCCTCTCCGAGTCGAGGATGTGCGACGGCTCTGCGTGTTCGATCATCGCTGTCTCTGCCAGATTGCTTGAGTTCCATGGCAACATCACCTGCGTAATTCTGAGGTTCGGCGGTGTGTGTTTGAACACGGTGGAGATTACCATTCATTGAGTGTAGTCATCTAGAAACACCGGCTCCAGTGGCTTGGACATGTGCTGAGAATGTCATCCCAGAGGATTTTGTACAGGTCTCTGTTCGCTAACCAGCCCTGGGATGGGATGGAAAAGGCGGAGAGGTGGTCAGTCCATGACATGGCGTTGTGGGATGAAGGATGTTTGTACTAGATTAGCATCGGTTGGTGTGTCACGACTCTCTTGGTTGGGGTCCGCGAGATAGCTCAAATCGATGGCTCGGCACGTTATCGGATATGGTCAAGAATTGTAATCATTAATGACGAACGTGTTGCAATTTCCTTCTTTCTTCCCTTCCCGATGATAATTTACGAATGCTGTTTGAACTTGTTAAGCATGACTGTTTTCCTTCCAGATGAAGTTCATTATCCGTTCTCTACTTATATAATTTTTACTTTTGATCTTTTTTGTTTTATTATTATTGTGTGGCGCATCCTTCTTGGTGCTATATTGTGCCAAGTTTTTTCTGCGTTTAAATAAATGAAATAAATAATTGTGTGAAGGGTGGAAGGGCTAAAACTGTTACTTATTGACCAGCTGACTGACTGACTGACTCAAATCAATACTTGATAATTAACCTGATGCTTACTAGCGACTGGTCTGATTCAGACAGTTACCTGGGGGGGTACTGGTGGGAAGCCGCCCTGACCAGTGAGGTACACAGCAGGTCGAAGGTGAGAAAAGTTACTCATTGAAGAAGAAGACGACATTGTTAAGTGGTCGCGGCGCTTTGTCGTCCATTGGCAGATGTTGGAATGCATGGACTGGCCATTGGACAGCGTCCCATTAAGTGGCTTAATGGTCTACGAGCTAGCTCACTAGCCTTGAAGCCTGAAGGTCTTGGGTTCGAACCCCCCCTGTGGGCTGGATGCGTACTGATGAAGAGTTCCCGACCAGGCTGACAGACACAGCTATCTGGCAATATTCTCAACTGGTTTTCCAACGGTTCTCTAATCCCCCAACCAATCAAACAAAATAAAGACATTCAGGTAACATCTCACGTCAGGCCCTCGACTGAAACTTGAGTAAGAAATGAAGAGTTAGGTGTGAGTCGGAGAGTGATATGCACCAGAGGGTGGGGGAGAATTATATTGTGAGTGGGGGAGGATATGGACAGTCTACGGGACAATCATTGGAGTCAGCTAGATAAAGAACTACACAGAAGGGAACAGAGTGAAATGCAGATAGGCCGTTGTGAAGCTCTATATTCCCCACGCACCCCCCTTGGACACCCCTTGGAACCCATGGGAATAATAATAATGATAATAGCATCTAATCCTTCAGTTGAAATGTAACATATTGTTTTAGTAGATTGAAAAACAAAACAAAACAATTGCGTTATTCATAATCTTTTATTGTCTTCTTAAAAAGTAGTATACCTGGGGGGTGGGGGTGAATAGTGTAACAATTTTAACAAGCATAAATTAAAAAAGATGAAATAGTCATAAAAAAGAAAGTCAGAATATAATATCCTACTAATGAGAAACAGCGTGTAACTTCTCAACAACGTGAGAACAATGATGGTATAAGAGAGTAACAAAGAAAGGGTGTGAAGTTTGGAGATTTCTTGAGTTGATGATTATCTAGGTAGATAGACAAATAAATAATTAAGCAGTGAAACCATCTAGCCTCACTTTACTCCGTCCTCTGGCATCTTCAACTGACTGCTCACACGATTTCATTGCGTGCTGCTGACATCGCATTACCCCTATGGGTATCCTCTGACGCTTATAGTATTGTTTCCTGTTATGGTTCTTCCACTCGAGGTTCTCTGGTGTATGATGTTACTTGATGGTCTATCTCTTGAGTTTTCGTCCAATCCACCTGTAAGATCAATTCTATTCCCATCCTTGAATCAAGTCAACCTGTCCCGGATCAGCCTAGCGTTGTTGCAACCAAATTATCCATGCCTAACGTGTCCATCCCTGCTTGTTTAATGAACTGTGTGTATGTGTTTTTACCTCGATCCGTTTAGTCAGACGGTTGAACTCATGGCCCAATCAGAGTATTTTGTGAACTGTTATTTTTGCGGACCCATGTCTAACTTTGTACTATTCTGTCGAGTTTATCTTATTTATTGATTTTCATCTGTATTTTCCTACCTGGTTAAGTAGCCAATTAAATTCTATCTTTGTGCCTATGCTCGGTCTATCTCTGTTAAACGCTTTCTGTTTTTATGCCATGCCTTACTTGGATTCATTCTTCTACTGACTGCTTACCTGAACGGTCGTGTCTGGTTCTGGCTAGTTCGCAATTTTGGCTTTAACGTTATTCCACTCTGATAGCGGTACCTTGCTTTCTGTTAAGCGTTGTGCTTTGTACTCTTGAAACCGTTAAGGTTTGTTGTATATATAATTATTGATTTGTTTATTACTAGTACCGTAGAAACACTGACCGGCTTCTTGTTTGTTCTGGACCGGGATAGCCTTTATCTACGCGTGACTTAATTTCAAGCGATATTGCGCTTACACACCCTTAATTTTTTTATACGTACATGTTCGTTGGACGATAGATTGTTAGTTGGCTTGCTGTCTGATAGGAGTTTCTTGTTTTGATTGGACGCTAGGCTAGTAACTAGTGTAATGTGTCTAGTCCCTTTGTCCCTTGGTGCAGACTGAATTCTATCAGTTACGTTTGCAATGTGGTCGCCACAATGCCACCAGGTGGTTCGCCATCACAGTGCACTGTGAGCAGGAAACCTTGCTCAACATAAGTTTTGTGTTTGTTGGCACTCGGTCAGTCCTACAGGAGGTCCATCACAATCCTGAATAACTGGTTTGAGCCTCAGAAGAAGGGACATGAGTTCTTTCAAGGTTTCAGATACGCCTTGCTGATGAGTGCCAACTAGCACGAAACCTAGGTCTAGTCAAGGCTTCCTGCCCACTGATTGCCTTTAACTATCTAATATCAACTATTCAGAGTTTCTTGTTGCCTATCCTTTCTGAATGATCTTCGCTGTTCGGCGAAGACATGTTTTGATGAAAGTCTGGGGTAGACTGTTGAAAATAGGCTTTCTGACGCATGAACTAAATAAACTTATCATGCCATCTAGAAGGACTGACTGACTGACTGACTTCGCATTAGCGTTATAAGGAATCCAGATCTCGTCCCTTGTGTTGAGTACTGCGGCGGCTTTCTACTTTTATCATGCTCTCCTGACGTTATCCTGACTGCCTTTGATACCTTCATCCGTGCAGCTATTAGTTCAAATGATACTCTTAAGATAATTTGGAATAAATGAATTCCCTTTCGATTTCTCCCATCTCTGTTATTCTCTGTGTGTTCACCTTCTTTCTTAGACTTGTTCATAATAATAATAATCGGTGACGATTTTTAGGGGTAGTAGAATTGAAAATCTTGGTTGCGGTGGGATTTGAATTAATGACACCCTGCAAAGTACTAGTCCGATGCTGTACACCATTCGAGCAATGAGATAAATAATAATATATACACCACAAAAAAGTGTTCAAATGTGAAGACAAAACTGTAAAACCATATTTAAATGAGATGATAGATAAGTGTTAACAAATGTGACCAATGTTAGAATGCTCTTGAAAACGTTATTTTTAGCAATAAGTCAAGTCAAGCATCTTTCTAACAATATTTTGTGTTCAACGTACGTCAAATAGTTTTCCTACATCAGCTAATCAATTAATTAATCCTTCCAGTCGAAAGTAACATAGAAACGAAAATAATTCCATATTTTAGTTATAGTTTGGGACTGTTTACCAGTGTCTATTTATGGACGCATCACGGAGCACGAACGCTGAGCCTTCACGCAACTCTACCTACGCAAAAGTGTTGCAACTAGTGAAGTTCACCAAATGTGGGTGTGAGAACAAATACTCACCGATGACTCATTAGCTGGCTGATTGAAGAAGTCAGAAATGATTGTAGGCTGTTGGACTCCATTCCACTGGCGCTAAACAGTCGACGAGCTCCCCTTGTAACCTAGGAGTCATATGTGTACTTTGCTGAAAAGTTCGAGAAACTCTTAAGCAGTATACAATATCTACAATTCCACCAGAAGTTGTACATTGAACACTTTCCGACTAGAATTTGAGCTTGTTACATAACTCAGTCAATCTAACTGGGTTGCAATCATTACATTGTGCCAATAACATCAATGTATGATTGGGTGGTGGTGCCCTACAGGTCAAAAATTTTGATTAGAAAATCGAAAAGTCCATCTCGGAGCTGTTTAGTAAATGCGTGTAGTAGTCAGTAGGATCATAGGTGCTCATTATTATTATTATTATGACCACTATCATCAAAACACAAACTTGGGTCTCCAAGAGAGTCGCCAAACAAAATCTCCCCAGTTTGTTTAAGGGTTATGATACCTTTTGAACACGCAGACCGAAGCAAGTTTTTATCTTAATACCCCATCTCCCTGTCCAGAGCATATAACTTGTAGTCTAATCCTTACACGAGGCAGCGGAGTAGCATCAGGAGCGTTACATCTTCGTAGTTTCCAGTGACGAAACCATACTGATATACCATTCGATTCTTTTGAATTCTGGAGACCATGTTTCATCATGGATTTAAAACCAGGGTTTCTCAGCTCCCCATGAGACGCTCGCATTCTCTCTTTTACTTTTTCGAGGAACACGCCGGCGGCACGTGAAGACAGTTGTTAGTAAGACTTGTATGTCAGAGACTATTTTTTTGATTTTTTTTTTGATTTTTGATTTACAGCTTGATTCCACACTGTATTTTTGGTACAAATATGGAATTTTCAGCATGGATATCGGTAGCCCAAATTTTGCAGGCCAACCATAGATATCAGGTGTGCGCCGGCGTGGGCTCGAACCCCGGACCATGTGCATGGTCGGCGAGAGTCCTAACCACTGTGCCACCGAACTCGTATGACCACATGAGAGGCAGAGAGAGAGAGGGGGGGTAGATTATTTCTACAGGAAGATCGAACTGTCTACCCACTCAACCCTCATGCTCACCAGGTTGTGTATGGCGGGGGGCGGGTGCTCTGTCTGTCTGTCTGTCTGTTTTCGACATAGAACTTTGCACATATGTGTGGCAGTTCAAGTCGCCACACTGTCTCCACGTACCACACAAAGCAAGAGAAGAAAGTAGAAGAAAAGCATAATAGAGACAGTAAGCAGAGGTATGAGACAAAGGAATAGTGATAACGAAGAAATGGAAATCATAAGTTACAGGGAGTGGATGCATCTGCGCCAGCCATTGAGAACGATTTTGAGCCGTGTCACCAATTGTTTCCAGCAGCCATTGGTTTTTACCGTCCCGAGGACCCCAACCAGTCAGGAAGTCTACATCTTCCTACGTGGCTTAAACTGACTGTTGTGGATTTCATTGACTGGTGCCATGTTTTTGTTGGACCGCCGCTAGCCCTTTTCCAGCCTCACCCTATATTAGCTAATACTGTCCCTCGAGGAAGGCGTTGATTAGGGATGCATAAGTAACACATGTCCTAACCATCTTAGTCGGTGTAACTTCACAACTTCGTCGATTGATTTTCCTTCCTTACCTAACACTCGACCGAAGGAGCCTAACCTCAATATTGCTCACCTTAGTATATACCACGTCGCACGGGAGATAGAGCACAGGCACCTATGATCAAAGACAGTTAACCAGCCTTTTCATATCTTCCGCTCTAAGTGGTCAGGTCTCACAGCCATAAAGGAGGACGGAGCGGACTGATGAGCAGTACACCCGCCCTTTGGTCGATAGTCGGATGGCGGGTGCTCATTCCTGAGGAATTCGATGAAAATATATTATTGCTAATTTTTATAGTGTTTTTTATATTGTTTTCAACACAAACTCATTTTTTCGGCTTTTTTTTCTTTCTTTCTTAATATACCCACCCATATATACAGGAAATTGCTCGTCTACGTGAAGAGATTTCCAGAATGAAAGATGAAAATGCTGCTCTTATCCGTGTAATCAGTAAACTTTCAAAGCCATTGTGATGTTGTTGCTGTTTATTGATTGATTGATTGAATATCATAATTGGCTATTAAATAGTGAGTGCTTTCTCTCCCTGTTTTCCCTATCCCATCCCTTCCCTTTGTGTAATCCTTCTTCTTTTATTGTTCATTTGTTTTTGTTTTTCCTTTCCCACTGTACTACCCTCTCACTCAATCGTCTTCTTCATTTTCTTTCGGCATTCACATCAGCAGTGTTTATTTTTATCGTCATTCAGGATTACCTTTGATTACACCAATGTCTGTTACATAGAAAGAGGACATCCCCCGCACCCCATTGTCAAGTGAAATCAGATAAACCTTCTCATCATGTCAACAAAGATGGTAGTTTGTTCATGCCTCGTGCTGCCTTGTGGCTGGCTGGTTATTGTCGTCGTCGTCGATGAAAGGAGAAGTGTTCAACACTGTCAGTCATTAATAGTGAGCAACGTACACGCCAGTGGACAAATAAATTCACAGTGTATATCGTGTCAATGTTAATATTTTTATTTTTGATAGATGGATGGACAGGTTTAATTGCCACCTGTCTGTCTAACTCTCCGTATGTCTGTCTGTCTATCTGTCTATCTACCTAACTACCTACCTATCTATCCATCTATCTGTTGGTCGGTCTGTCCATCTATCTCTCTCCCTCTCTTTCTATGAAATATCTTCGTTTATAACTGACATTATCTACTAAAATTACACAATGACTATCGTTTTCTTATCACAAACATTATTATTATTATTATTATTATTATTATGATAATCACTACTCGTTATTTTTTACAGATTACATTATCGTTATTATTATTATTATTACTATTTAAGGTAATACAGAAGACAATGAGATTGCAATTTTTTATACAAACTGTAAAAAACATAATATGTGTGTTGTATTCGTGTGTGTGTGTGTATACGATGTACGCGTGTGTCTGTCTATCTATCTTCGTGCGTATGTCAGTCAGGTCAGATGATAATCAATCAATAAGTCAAATCGCACAGACTATATCTGTCTGTCTATCTATCTATCGATCTATCTGCCTGTCTGCCTCCTAAATAATTTCTTCATTCACTCATTCGTTCGTTCGTATTTTGCGCCACTTTTGTTTTTCTCCCATGTTCAATGTTCAATTTTTATTTAACTCATCTTGTTTAACGTTTGCTGTGTTAATTATTACAACTGACTGATTGAGTCAGACGAAGAAAATTAGTGTCATACCTTGAAGGATTAAGGAAGGTGTTTATTCTGTTATTCACTTGAGAGGACTGTACTGAGCACATACTAGAGGAGAAGGAGGAGGAGGTTGGAGTATCAATCGTTCAGTATTCGCAGTAGTAACAGTAAAAAGTTTTTTTAAATCATTGTATATACAGAAACCGTGCCTTACAAAAGACAAACAGAAAACGGTGGATTATCAGACAAATGGCTTATTCATGACTTTTGAGCAACAAGTATGTGGATGTGCTAGTTAGTGTCTTGACTCACTTTGTACCCTTTTTCATCCATTGATATTACTGAAGTTTATTTAGGTCTTAACCCCCGCCCCCCTCTTCGCTCCCGCCTTCTTTATTATGCGTAAGACAATGATGATTAACTCACTTCTTCGTTTTCTTTAATAAATTAACATGTACTTTGGTTCGTTTTTGGTTGATTGGATTAGTTCATGAATATCACACTAAGTTAGTATATATATTGTTGTAGTCTATATGTATTCACAGCCCCTTACTGTATCCTTCTTCTTTAAGTGAAGTGCCTATGTGAGAAAAAGGCTATTCGCCTTTATTATTGTTATTATAATAATAATAATAGTTATTATTATTAACACTATTATTAATGATTACTACTGTCAGGATGTAAGATGTAAGGTTTTCCTTGATTGCATACTGCCTTATTTCATTCGAATTATTTGGCTAAAATTAGTGGAGTGGGGCGGAGCGGCGCCGGGGGGTGAATAGACAGGCAGACATCTTGTCGTTATCTGTCACTCATACAGACTACTTATTTATTCACTTATTGTGAGATATCCGTCTACCCCCATATATATATATATATATATATATATATATATATATATATATATATATATATATATATATATATATATATATATATATATATATATATATATAACTGTGAAACGTACTCATCGATAAAACTGCAGTCGTTGTGTATGACGGTGGTTGGTAGTGAGAGCTGTTTCTTTGGTTTTAATGTTTACGTAACCGACATTCTCTGGTATTTATAAAGACTCGGAACATTACAATTTTGTTCAACACTATAGTAATAATTATTATTAATACTATTACTAATGATCGTCTTTGATGTGTAAATAGAGACTATTGTCCTTCTATTCTATTATTGTTATTCTTCTCCTTATCCTCGAATAAACAGAGTTTCTCATGTTTTATGTTTGTTCTCTATTTGTGTGTGTGTGTGTGAGAATAGGAGGTGGTCCTTTGCTGCTACATACATTTAGTTTTATTCTACCTGTCTCCTTATTTTGTCCTTCTCTCTAAAGATTCATGCATGGCTTTTTAAAAACAAAAATTGTTGTATTTTGTTGTATACTCAATTTTAATTTCAATTTATATACGTACTCATATTGACTCATACTTGATTACATATTCTAAATATGTACATACATACATACACACGTATTATATATTTAAGCGTACATTTAAGTAATACACATATATATGATGAATTTTTGATTTTTCTAGTTGTTTTGTTTTTCGTTGTTCTTGTTCATTTATCCTGATATTTGACGGCGTGTTGTACGATAAATTGTGAGCTTCGACGGTCGGTCTGTCTGTGTGTCTGTTTTCAACATAGAACTTTGCGCCGATGTGCACCAGTTCAAGTTGTAAGTGCAAAATAGAGACAGTAGACAGTAGGGATATGAGACAAAAGGAATAGTAATAACGAAGAGCAATATATAGTTTCATTGGGTATTCTAAGTGAAAAGTAGTGGATACGTCTGCACTGTCATGGTAAACGATGATTTTTAACCATATCACTGATCGTCTCCAGTCTTCTTTGGTGTCTACCATCCTGAGGAACCCAACCAGGCAGTGAGAAATTCTACACTTCCCTGCATGGTTGGATTAAACTAACTGTTGTGGATTTCATTGATTGATGACGCCATGTTTTCATTGACCACTACTGATTCTCTTGCAGCTGACATTGCCTGTTGTCGAGGAAGGCAATGACTCGGCATATGTAACACATGTCCTAACCATCTCAGTTGATGTAATTTCACAGCCTCGTCGATTGATTTCCCCTCCCAACCAACCTAGCACTCGACCGATGTCTAACCTCAATATTGCTCGCCTTATTATACCACTTCACACGACAGACAGAGCGCAGGAACCTATGACCAAAGACAACCAGTCTTTTCATGCCTTCCGCTCTAATGGTCAGGTGTCATTCACAGCCACAAAGGAGGACGGAGCGAACTGCTGAACAGTATACATGCCTTTTGATCGACAGTCGGATATCATACGTGGTTGGCCAGCCTTCTACCGCCGAACCATTATCAAGTACACTGTTATGTACTCGTCGCTAAATTATTGTTATGGACTGGTCGAGAAACTAATAGTCCTGACGCGAGAAGGCGGAAATCAGAAGACCACTAGGTTTGCGATGATACTTCTATTGTCCAAACACAAGGAGACGAAAATAAAATGGTCTCACACCAAAGTGGTAAGTAAGTAAAGTAGTTCACACAGTATGCGTGAACGAAATATATATATAACAAAATATATATATAGCAGACATGTCAAACAACCATATATGGATATATGTCACTAAGCAACGGACTGTCAACAAACACTCATATTATATATAATATAATATAAGGAGAATACACATTATTAAAGGAGACAAGTTCATACAAGTGAAGTGGTCACAGACTAACCGAGCAAACAGAAAGAGAGAGCAACATACACACACATAAATATATATGTGGATACATATCATACACTATGACGACTATTTCTAGGTAGATGTAATCAAGAATCAATAGAAAAAATAAAGGGGCAATAGGTGGTCTTTTCGCCTTAGTCTGGGATTTTTCAGAAATGTGAAATCAGAACCCTGAGAAAAAATATCAGGTTTAACGGTAGAAGCACGTTAGTATGCTGCGATCAAGAGAATTAAACCCTTAGCAGCCGAAGGTGTCTTATTTTACTTTTTTCAACTTGTCAATGCAAAAACTGGCGCGGAATTATACTCCTGTCCATCCCAAGCAAAATACTAAGCCGCATCATCCTGGAGAGAATCAAACAAGCCCTGGATGCAAAACTTCGACCGGAACAAGCTGGATTTAGGAGAAACAAGTCATGTATTGATCAAATCGCCACTCTACGGATCATCATTGAACAAAGCTTGGAGTGGCAGTCAGGCACCTTGAGTAACACCAGGTAAAGTAAGTGAGGTAGTGGAGGACTTTCCATTTTAGACGGTGTACTGCTTCCTATCAGAAAAATGTTAATGCAGCCACCTATTTGTCCAGCTCTCAGCCTGTGTTGCAGCAAGCTTACTTAGCAAGAGAGACCTGGGAACAGAGTCAAATGCAGATGTGTAATCAAGGAAGGCAAAGCGAACGTATTTAGCTCCTTTATCTAAACTAGAGACTATACTATGATGTAAGACAACAGCGGCATCTATGGTATGAGACAAAAGGAATAGTAATAACGAAGAGCAATATGGTTTCATTGGATATTATAAGTCACAAGGAGTGGATTCATCTGTGCCAGTCATTGAGAACGATGAATTTGAGCCATATCACCGATTGTCTCCCAAGGACACCAGCCAGTCTGCTTCTTCCTAACTGGCTGGTTCCATGTTTTGGTATCACCGCCGCTAGCTCTTTTCCTTCCTGACCTTATATAAGCTAACATTGCCCATGTTCGAGGAACGAGATGGTTAGGCATGCGTAACACATGTGCTAACCATCTCAGTTGATGTAATTTCACAGCCTCGTCGATTGATTTCCCCTCCC